CATTTGTTAGGTACGTATTTCATTGGAAAAATTTGTACCCGCCTGCAGGATTCGAACACCGTTGCATCGCTAGATACGAATGCACCGGACGTATTATCCTTTAGGCCACGACGACTTCTAGTTGTCTTAGAGATACCACAGTAACTCTAGCGAGCAATCGAAAGTGAGACATTGAGGTATGCGATAAACCGCCGAATGCATTGCATTTGGAATTCTTGATCGTATTTGCGCAAACCAAGTACACAGTATCAAGATTATCTATTTCGTCGTCTAGATAGACCAAAACACAGTAGTTAAGTCAAACAATTAGGTACACCTTCATAAAGGCCGTCGTTTCTAAATCACAGTTTTGCATTACAAATTTCATACTAAGTATATTCGAAGGAAAAACACCGTCAAATGTGTGCTTCTAATTTAGTTGCTCAGAGTAGATACTGACATTTAGGGCTTGGCATTTTGTTCGTCCTCATTCTGATCAATAACGTGAGATTCATGATAATGTTCCTATTCATTTAGAATTATGAGGATCATTAGTAGGTCTTAGCATTTTCATTTTGTTTTCATTCGCTTCCTGCTGATTTGATTTAGTTTAGAGTTTGTTTTATTGCACTGCAAAATGAACACAAATGGAAAACATTATGTACGAAAATATAATAGGCAGTCTTAATGCTATGGGCGATCTCTTCCAGGCAACCGCCAGGTGGGCAAGAACTTTAAAGCTATATTATGTTTTCCTTAAAATATTCAAGGCCTGTTCTTTTCCACGTCAAGAGCGCAATAATTCGTTGAACGTTATTAAAGAAAATAGTTCTAGATTCATTTTAATTCTGTAGTTAATCAAGATACTAGTCGTTAATTCGTTTATACGTATTTAATATAAAAGTGTGTCAAGGGATCAATATTGTAAAATGTATTTAGTTTTTCTTAGAATCAATAATGAAGTCCAGTCGGTAATTATTACGTACTTTTTATAAGTTGTAGTTGCTTGTTTTGCTTCACAAATAGCAAAATAAACATTTATGAGGTTAAGGACTGGAGCGGTCCCTGTGGGAGGATTACTTTGCCAAAACAAAATTAGCGGTTCCTTTGGGACCGCCGCAACTCACCTGCCTAGAATACCACTGACCGCAAGTTTTCCATTGAACATGTAAGAAACACGGACCGCCATGGCTCATCTAGGCAGTAGATATAACATATTGAAGAGGGCATAATCAAAAAACTAAAATTAGGAATAGTTTATTTGAGTAATTCTTTACCCATATGCATTTAATTACTTTTGGCAAAAATCGCTAAAAAATATCGGTCCTTAATCTGTTAAGATTTGTAATACTCGTATATTTGAATTAAGCCCCGCCCGTATTGGTGGCCAATCTTTGAATTCATTTGCATCTGACCGCTACCAAATTTCACAGCATAACCTGCTGAAGCTTTCCTAAGAATTTCATAGAAATTGATCCAGACGGTTCGGACTCTATACACACATCGACTTTTCAATGTATAGACTAAATGCAGATTTACTGATTTAGTGTATTTATTAAATATATTACATTTTATTTTAATAGAACTTGAATGACATTTCATTTATAATACTTTTTGTCAGAATACGCCAGACTGAAAATCATATCTAGTGCTGTCGTGGCCTAAAGGATAAAACGCCCGTTGTGTTAGTATCAAGCGGTCAATTAAAATTTTGTTTAAATAAATTAGTCACGTTTAAAATGATAAAAAAAACTAGACGAGCAAACGATGCCATGGCCCTCCTGATGATCAATATAGTCCATAGACAACAGAATGTGAATGCCGTCATCTAGCTTGAGATACGAAAACTCAAATGTATAGGAAATGATTATCGCACCCTTCAAACCAGAACACAAGGCTGCTCTGTGGCAAAAATAGACATGATGGGGGTATTTATTCAACTACAACAATTGGCAATTGTATTGGCACAACTACGACCTGGAATAAGTATCATTTCCAGTGTTACTAAATAATATTCATTAACGTAGTGTGACCATAGGCAATAAAAAAAAAAAAACCATAATGAAACAAAAAAAACTCCACAGTAAAAGTATCAAATAAATTATATAACAAATAGAGCCTTAAGTCAGTATTTCTTGTGATAACTTTAGTTTATAGGTTTACTTGAGGTAAATTAGAACATGCTACATCGAAAAGACATTAGATAATAGTCGAGAAAGTAGGGTAGGCACTTAATCTACTTGGGGATGAGCGAAATGAGGACGAAGTGATCTCTGTCCTACAGAGCAAATGGGTATGACAGAAACATGTTCTTAGTTAAAAATAATTTTTTTAAGCGCTTCAAAATTTGGAACACTCTTAAAGAACAATGCAGACTCATAAATATTGCCTATTAATTATCCATTTAAATATTGTATAATTTTACCAATATCGAAAAATTTATATCTCAAAACTACATAATATACCGGGTCATACAATTGTGCGTTTGTAATGGCTTTTTTATTTAATACCGCCTACCGTACTGTATAGAAAAAAAAATATAACAATGTTGTGAATGTTTTTTTTTATCCTGTGTTTTTTGCAGTCTAAATTAGTATGGTTGTGAATTTCCCAGTAGCATTTTGTACATTCATTAGTTATTTCGTGTTTTATTATTACCGTGTGCGCTTCGTCAATTTTTTACTTTTAATTGTACGAAAATATTCAATAAAAAGCTCTTAAATGTATGAGAAAATTTGAAATCGTCATTTCAAATTATATTGTATTGAACTACAGTCCCACAGCACGACTATCTTGCTTGTTTCTGTGGCAGAGCGGTCATTGTGGGTTCCGATTCGAATCATAGGATAGTTTTTGTATGAAATGATTGTCAATCATATTTTTCAACTAACCTAATACAAATAAATATAACGTTACGTTATCATTGCGAAGTCGTTTTTTGTGTGTTCTATCCACTTTATCTCGCTACAACAACGCACGGACAAGGTTGCGACGCTGTCATTGTTTGTGATATCGGTTCGAGAACAGTATGTCGTTTTACTCGATATCTTCCGGCATTTCCAACTGACATAAAAAAATTTATTTAAAGTGGGAATAATTAGGTGTAACCATTGGCCACACCGACCTCGTTTGTATTATCTATGACCGACCTGACAGATGACAGATGGCGCATGAATGACAGACATAATACGATTAGAAAAAAAATAAAAACGTAATTTGTTTGTGAGTTGATGATTAAATAAAATTTAACAAAATCGGTTATTTTATTGTGCACCGCGATCCCACATATATTTATCGAAATTTTTAAAAACTAAGGACTTTCCACCGACTCCCCTTAACCAGGACTGCTTACATGGGTTTGAGTGACTTGACGGTTCAGTAGTTAGTGCTCCTGACTGCTGGACCGAGGGTCGTAGGTTCGATTCCCACATCGAGCAAACATTCGCATAATGAATAGTTTGTTTCCTTTTTATCTGGGTACTTATTATCTATTTAGCGTGTATTTAAAAGTAATAATTTTCTTCTAATTTTTTTTAATTGTTTTTATGGTCGGACATTCTGGTGTTAAGTTATTGCTGGAGCCGATATACATCATAGTCTTCAATTGTACATTGCAACCTTTAAATAGGAACCTATGAATGCTTCGCGACAGAAATAGGCAGAGCTATTCATACGAGCCTACAATACACATTATATAAGTATATACTTATATAGTAGATCATGTACGTAACGGAAGAAGTGATATGAGCAGTTTTATAATAAATAAACATGTATCCACCGCTGTAGACGCTTAAACGGGAGATCAACATACATTGGTACGATGGCTTTATAAAAATCCGGTTTGATTGGTACACATATCTCCGGTTCCCGTAATTACGGCGAGGTAAAGTACACACCAGCTTTAAGCTCCGATCATAAGATTTTATTCACAAAAGGGTCGGTAAAACAATTTTATTAAAAAAGATTTTGTACAATCTTCAATGTCCATAAAATTTGACAATTTTTTTTAGTGTTGTAAATGCATTTTTCTAGAGTGTAGTACAATACTATTTAAGGTTTAGCTATTGAGCATCATCTGTCTTTTTACAGTAGTGAAAATATTGGAGCAAGCTTTACAACATTAAGAGGATTTTCAAAGCGCGCCTTAGAAGACATAAAGCATTTTCTTATAGTTTTCCTCCCACGACTTTCGTGATGCAACTGATCCGCTGTGTGTGATGATAAAATTTTAATGTTCCTTCTCAACATATCGTACCTTTAGAATCGAAGTGGCTTAATCCAAAATTCTCGTTTTTTTGGTATACGCCAAAAATATAATTAAAAAATTGTAATTTTTCAGTTTCGATTTTAATATATACCTACTTTAAGCCTTAAAGCGCTTACCTTATGCGCTTTATTTAAAATAAACGGAAAGTGACCTTTGACCTTTTCTAGACTAAAATTTAAATTTAATTTTATAAACTGATAGAATACATGTTTATGAGTAGTTCAAAGTTGATGAGTCGTTTTCTTAAAAAAAAATTAGTTAAGCCACTTCAATTCTTAAGTAATGTAATAGTAGTAAGTAATAATAAATAAATTCTTCTAATGTATAAACTTGTAATAAATAAAAAGATGTGTGGTGTCGTGGGACGCCGGATAGGAACGAAGTTTCTTATTATAAAAATATTAATTTTAAGTTCTATTCGAGGTATAAAGAAAATAAAACTGGAGGTTTCGCAACAACCCACGGTCATTCGGTAACGTGCGAACTTATTGTGGTACACTTCATTCACGGTTGTTTGCTTAGGTTAGTTTATTGCGCAAACGAACGCTCTGAGATCGTGGTCATTGAATGATAAAAAAATTTGTAATTTTTTGTACGTTATTAGTATTACAAAGTTAAGTCGTACACTGTGTGCATTACTAATAAAATTCTTACGTTACGGACGTTTTTTCCCGGTTAGGGTCCCTCCGCATCGTCCCATAAGAAACTTTGTTCCAAAATCGTGCTAATATTGTCAGCGTGTATCTTAACTCACCTCCCTCGTCCTGGATGACATCTGTTGTCAGCTCCACGACAACTGACACGTCATAAGTGTCGACCTCCAGTTTTTACCGGGGACCGACGACCGAAGCAAATCCGCAATCACATCACTTCACTGAACTGTTTCACTTTCAACGGTTGGTATGCGATCGAATTATTCCTCTTTTGTTTTTTGTCTATTGTTCGCTGTTGTCGTTCGTTTGTTCGCGTTATGTTAAACAAAATTCTGTCCTAATTAAATAAATAAAAAGATTCGTTTTTGTTTAATTTTTGGCTTTGATTCTTGTGGCAGTGCTTTATTTGGAACTTAATTTATTTAGTACACAAAACCCTTATCAGTTAATTGGATTGATTGTATGTTAACGAACATATTTTAGCACAACGACCTATGAAAGTGAGGTGTAGGGCATGTCAAGGTCGTACCTTGGTGTTACTGAAAATAGAATAATATAACTGTATTAATCAACGGTATGTAGTCTGTACCTAATGTTAAAAATATCAAGATTTTACTTGGAATTCTTAGCTTCATATTATATAAGCAGGTTGTTATTAAAATGTGCCTCTATGTTTGTAGCATCCACATAATCCGTTTGAAATGAAAATATGATTTATTGTTTTCCTTATCTTAATATAGTGTTTTATGCAATTGTCTTAAGACATCTATTCGACTAACCACCTATTTGTAAGTATACGAATGTCATGGATGCTTAAAATTGAATGCAAAAAATTTGTCGGATTTGCATAATGCCACAGGCATGCGATATGCATGTGACAAATCAAACGCGACGGATAAGTATAGATTTTCGTGACACCTGAAGATTAGATAGAAAAATACGAGCGTGAACATTTCCTGATTGAAGCGCTTATTGTGAACACAAGTAGGTACTAATCTTCGTATCTATTTCTGCACGAACCAGCCAAACCATGGCTTCGGGTTAGGATGACGAGATTGTCCTTATACATGTGTATAATAAATAATACAGTTGAAATTTCGATCTCACCTATCAAACAAAGAAATAAAATAATCAATTAAACTTCACTTTGATTTGATCTCAATCAAAGGGCACCGTTAATCTTTAAGCCTTTAGTGGGCTATGAATTTATATGCCAGTTTTCTATATGTAATTGAGTAAAAAGCATATTTTTGTGTTAGGAAACCATAAAAATAAATAAGTTAGTTTTTCCAGTTATTACCCTAAAAATACTACTCTTTCTTTAACCAAAAACTTAATGGAAGTTTTAGTAAAATGGATGACTGTTTCGTAGCCAATATGTAGTTTATCGGTATGAAAACTGTCATAAAAATTTGTAACAGAACACGTAATGCCTTTTTGTTTGTGTTAGCAATTCATTCAGGAAAAAAATATATGTTAGGACTCACATATTATTGTTTATGACAAACGTTTAGGATTTCCCGCTTAATACATTCACATGTTATTTAAGATATTAATTATTTTCTATGTAGTGCAATAATTACGTATTGCAAAGTCTCAAATGTTACAAAGTGTCTGGCGGCATTCACAATAGTTTGTGGGCAACGTTGACCATTTAAAACCACTCGAACCGTGCGATCATCTTCGTAACTAAAGAAATGAAGAGTAACCTAACAAGATTGGCAAACATGCAGGCATGTTTGACACAATACCAGTTGTGTTAGTTTCGAAGTACTAGTGTTGCTTCAGCTTAAATCAGTTGCTGATATACGAGCATGACATACATAGGATGCTACAAAGAGCTAAACTTAAATGAGTATCGAAAGAAAAAGAATCGAATGGAAATGCTATAGAAAAATAATAATAAAATAATAATAATAAATTATACGAATGCGACATGACTCTAGTTGCGACTTCTGTTTGCTTTAGATAGCCGATCCACAAATAACGCATTTACTGTTTCTTGGATAGCTAGATAGCTAAATAAGCACATGAAATCCCTTTGATTTAAAGTTAATACAGCTCAAGCAGAAGCTAGTCACCCTTGATATCCCAGTAACGTTCTTAAGGATCCACCAGTGGTAACAGTAGGCAAAGGTCACCGTACTCACAGAACTAGTAGCAACCCTTTAAACCCGAGCTCTTAATTTCGTCCATACATCCTAGATAAGCAACAAGGTCTTTGAATCAATTGCGATCCCTGCATTTCAAAATAAATAATCATTCAAAGTAAATTTTCTTTATGGTATGTGCTGCCTTGCAAGAGTACAACGACTGGCTACTTACTCTCTTCGAAAACGTTACATTATTTATGATTTTGCGTGAGAAGTTGGTATTGATGTTAGTGTCAAACCAGTTAAACAGGTGTATCTATTACATGATTGAATATTAAGTATAAATATTGTAGATTTAATGTAGTTTAGATATTTCTGGCCATTGATTCCAGCGTGTCCCGCAATTTGTGTAGTGCAAAAACTGGCCGCGTCATTATAAGTCACTTAAAAATTTTAATGTACCATTCAGCTATTAAATGCGTATTGATTGTGATGAATTACGCATTAGAATATGACAACCTTTTGGCGCTACTAAGCCATTTTCCTAAGACGTTTCCTTAGATTTAATTTTTTTTACGTCATATCTAAAATCTGGTGACAGAATCGTCTTTATTATATCTAAAGTCTTTTGTATGTGGAAGAATTAGTGGTTGCTAGAAAGCTTTTCCAGCTTGTCTAGGACGTGTGGGTGAACATGAACTTAGTCAGAAAAAGCAGAATTTGCTAACTTGACATGATAACTCCAGGAAGGTGCTTCGGGAAAATGCATTTACTACCGGATCGGAATCGCGACCCGCTGAGTAGATCCAGCGAGAAATTCAGCGGACTGATGTTATAATAATATTAAGTTTCATGTCGAATTTTTCGATGAAATAATGAATAACGTAAATGCCCTAAATACGTACGTGTATACATCAACGTATTACAATTAGAATACAGATATTGAGAATCCTATTTGCATTTAAAACTGATAAGTCAAAATACCAACAGCTAAAAATTTGTAAATTAATATATCAGCAAATTTACTCTTTAGGTTAACTCCGTTTATCGTGTCTGAATTTTAAATATGTTTTCGTGAAATGAAAGAGCGGCGATAAAAAAATACATGTGTAAATAGCTTTGATGGAGTGGTTTGCGTAGCACGACGTGTCAGCAAACATTGGAATGAATCCTCCTAAACAATTCAACGTATCTCGTATGCGCTAACCTCGCTGTCACGTGCTATTTGACTTTGTCTAATTATTTTTCAGCTCCAATTTTAACATGGCCTTTATTAGTACGTTTTAGGGCTCAATGATGTTGACATTGAATTTGTACTACATTTTGTTGTTTGGGAAATAGATAATCTTGATACTGGGTACTTGGTTTGCGCAAATAGGATCAAGAATTCCAAATGCATTCGGCGGTTTATCGCATACCTCAATGTCTCAATTACGATTGCTCGCTAGCGTTACTGCGGCATCTTTAGGACAGCTAGAAGTGGTCGTGGCCTAAAGGATAAGACGACCGGTGCATTCATATCTAGCGATGCAACGGTGTTCGAATCCCGCAGGCGGGTACCAATTTTTCTAATGAAATACGAAATACCAAATGCTTCACGATTGACTTCCAAATTATAATTTGCGTAATTACTGGTGGTAGGACCTCTCGTGATTCCGCACGGGTAGGTACCACCAACCCGCCTATTTCTGCCGTGAAGCAGTAATGCGTTTCGGCTTGAAGGGTGGGGCAACCGTTGTAACTATACTGAGACCTTAGAACTTATATTTCAAATGGGTGGCGCATTTACGTTGTAGATGTCTATGGGCTCCAGTAGCCACTTAACACCGGGTGGGCTGTGAGCTCGTCCACCCATCTAAGCAATAAATGCAATCTATGATTATTCATTGAGAACACTAGACAATATTGGCCTTAGAGTACCGGTTTATGTTATTATATTTTACGACCTTCGCACCTCCGCCCCTTTCAATGCGACGTGTTTAATCTACAGGGGCCGAAGGATTTTTTCTCGAGTTGATGAAATTTTATCTAACACCTTACAATCTTTGGTTTTCCTATTTGTTATGATACTTGATTTTTTTTTTATATCTTACATATAAAATTCTTGTGTCACAATATTAGTTACCATGCTCCTCTGAAACGGTTTGACCGATTTTTATGAAATGTTATGTTCATGTTCAGTAGGTCTGAGATTCGGCTACTATCTATTTTTCATACCCCTAAGTGATAAGGGTTGTCCACCCCTAATATATATATATACATTTTATATAATCAGGAATTATGTAGTTGAATGAGGTTTTGCTATTTTTATATTCTCTCATCGTTCACAGCGCTACATGTCTCTTTCACTCATTTACCACATCCTTACATACTTACAATAAGTTTGTTTCTTTTATTTCTACATTAGAAATTCCCTAGATATATTATATATAATATGGCAAAAAACATTTGCCGGGTCATCTGGTAATTTATATATATATTATGTTTGTATAGATTGGTGATCGTACTGTATTATTATTTTAATCAAAAAAATTATATGTTACATTTATTTTGTTATCATTTCTATCTTAATATAGTCTGGATTAAAACTCTATTAGCTATAAGCCGACTATGGTAGCACCGATAAAAATAAAATATTTTTAGACAATGTTTAATATGTAAGCGGTGTAAGGATGAAGACATAATCATTCATTGTTATGACATTAGCGTAGTTTTTTTTTAGACTTTGATCTGTTGTTTTTTATATTGTAAAACAGTTGTAATAGCCATATAATTTTGTCCGTGTTTTAATTATTTTGTTACATTTAATGTTTTTAGATTACAAATACAATAATATCTTATTTAGTTGTATATTTTTAAAACACCCTTATCAAACGATGAGACAGCAAACTAAAGTACTTGTTAGAAAATCGACCCTATTTTAGCTTAGCATTACAATTTTAGCAGCTTATCATAGCAGCTAAGCAAAGCAGGTTATCATTACAATATGTTGTCAATGCCAGAATAAAGTTCAAGCGAATGAATTAAAAAAATACATAGATTTCCAAAGCCTAGAAATGACAAATACAAACAGATGATTTTTATTTTGATAGTGAAACAATTCTGTTTGAGTGCGCGCAATGTCAAGCACGTGACGACTCCAGCGGAAAACGATCCGTGTACCCTTGAGGCCAGAAAAAGTGTTATAAAACATTGTTAGATCGACTTCATGTAAACAAATCGAAAGAAGAAATGATGGTTCAAACTTTTATTTGATTGAGTGAGTATACGCGAATAGTTTTTGTTACGTAATTTAAAATTTACTGTGTTTTAAAAACGGCAATAACAATAGCATTTTTAAATTAAATTCATTCACACGCACAATGATTAATACGAGTTTTAATATAATAGAATTTACGAGAATTTTAATTTAATAGAAGAACTGTAGAGTTTTTGGATTTTTTTTTATTAATTTAATATCGAAATTGAGCAATGATCATTAACATTAACTAACGCAGTAATATCTTACCAATCAATAACCAAACCGTGCGACGATTCGTTCCATATACTTGGGACTTAAAGAAAAACACAACTTCGAACCCGACAAGGTAATTGAATCGTTATTTCCGCTAATCTCCACTCATTTACGTGTAACAAGGCAAGCATTCACGATCACCATGACAATGACACACGGACAATGAAATGCAGAAAACCCCGAGTTTTCCGAATAAACAACACAAAAGTATTAAATATTCACGATTGTCCGGAACTAATGAGCACTGCCACCGAAATCGCAGCGTTTCGTTTCACTGTATATAAAAAAAAACCTGAAAGCCACTTTTCATCGACGAATTTCACGCGCCGACGTCTCAAAGTCAAGTGCAACTGTTTATCACTCGGACTCGCAACGAGATAACCGCATCTCGAACAATGCTGTGTTCAAATGAAAATATCGATATCGGTAATGCGAAAAAAAAATCGAACGATACGCGGTGATTAGGTCTTGTGTACCTGTGCAGAGAGCACGTGCGAACGGCGCGGTGTGCGAAGCGCGAATGCCGACAACCTGCTTGTCAATTGTTTACATCGATAATTACATTTTAGTTCCATTTGAAAAAGGTCGAAGCCTTTTGCAGCCCGGAAAATCGGATGCTATACCTACACCGCACGCTTGTCTTCATTGATGACGGTAGAAATGCGTAATGAACAATCATATCGAATTAAACTTGTAACAAACAATCCGATTTATACAACATATATGTAGTTGATATCTAGCTGAATGTAGAATTTAAAATATTTGTAATTAGCGTTTGAATCGATTTACTGATGAAACGAAAATCCAAAATCATTGTGGAACCTAATGAATACTAAAATAATACCAGTAAAAAACGTGAGAATCATAAAATTGAACCTGTTTAAATTATAATACACTTATATACAGATCTAAAATGAATATTCCGATAAAATAAAAAAATTTTTATTCCTTCGATGGGTGAACGAGCTCACAGCCCACCTGGTGTTAAGTGGTTACTGGAGCCCATAGACATCTACAAAGTACATGCGCCACCCACCTTGAGATATAAGTTTTAAGTTCTCAGTATAATTACAACGGCTGCCCCGCCCTTCAAACCTAAACGCATTACTACCTCACGGCAGAAATAAGCGGGGCGGTGGTACCCACCCGTGCGGACTCACAAGAGGTCCTACTACCAGTAAATAAACTTACAGTTATAAACAGTAACTTAAAACTGTTTAACTATAAATAACTTTAAGCACCCATAGATTTGTTTGATGCCTTTTTACATTATCAGGACAAGTACTAATAACCTCTACCTCAAATAATTAATTTTAATGTAGAATTTCGTTCGTTGAATTTTTGGTAAGTTCAGAAAACGTGACTAGTTGTAATGACTGGATAATTGACACGTGCTCTGCATATTTTTCATAAACGAACAAACTTACTAAATTATTAATTACCAAGATTAGGATCCATTAACAGTGACGCGATGATGTTAAATACGTAAATTTTCTTTGAATATAATTTCATTATTGTTTTCGTTATCTAAACAAATCTGTACTTGTATTCATAGTCTTCATATTATCTTAACCGGTGATATGATGAGATTTGGTAGTGATCATATCAAAGTCAAAACTCAAAGCCGCGAAATAATAATTTGCGTAATTGCTGGTGGTAGGACCTCTTGTGAGTCCGCGCGGGTAGGTACCACCGCCCTGCCTATTTCTGCCGTGAAGCAGTAATGCGTTTCGGTTTGAAGGGTGGGGTAGCCGTTGCAACTGCACTGAGACCTTAGAACTTATATCTCAAGGTGGGTGGCGCATTTGCGTTGTATTTCTATGGGCTCCGGTAACCCCTTAACACCTGTTGGGCTGTGTAACATCTATACAATTAAAGAAAATTAAAAAGATCTGAGCACATTCGTTTCTGTTAATGTCTACAGCGTCATTTTCAATTTTCCATCATTTCCACCACGTTTCTCTTTATGTGGGGTATCTTCACACATCAATCCGCTAAAAAAGAAAAACATTATTTTGTTGGTTTGGTGAGAGAAGATTTTCCATAGAGTGGGTATCATTGTTAAATAAACCAACGGTTCGAATATCCTAGTTCGAAAATTATATTATATGTAATCCTAACTTGAAAATATCGTTAGCGCGATTCAGGTTTTGTCTCAAACGTCTTCAATTCTACGCTAGTTACCGCTACATCAATAAAATCCTACTGTATTTCGTAATTTTTTCGGTCGTAATAGTCGACACAAGATCGTGCAAAGCCTCGCTTGAATCTTGATCTTGCTTGAAATTCACAATTCAAATAGAATTACTTCGGTATCTGAATAGACGATCGCTTTTTAATTCTCGGGGTAAATAAAAAAGACAGCGCATTAAGAGAAACCTTTATAACTTAGTATGTAGCATCGACTATATTATTATCAGGTACCGCCGTCCGCCGTGAAGCAGTAATGCGTTTCGGTTCGAAGGGTTGGGTAGCCGTTGTAACTATACTGAGACCTTAGAACTTATATCTCGAGGTGGGTGGCGCCTTTACTTTGTAGATGTCTATGGGCTCCAGTAACAACTTAACACCAGATGGGCTAAAAAAAAAGGTACAATATATGTCTTTTATGATAATAGCACACATTCATTAATGATAATATCAACGAGTTTTACACCTAGAATGACTAATTCTTGAAAATTATCACTTTTTGTTTTTGATGACAAACAATTAAAGCATTCATGGCTTAAAACGTTTGGTTAGTTTTAAATGTTACAAAGAGCGTCATATAAGAACTCGTGAAAGGTATTCACGAGCGATAGCATTAAAATAGTGACATTAGTTAGTGGTCACGTTTACTATGTCCGATGATCGTGCCGCATCGTTGCCTAGTTTAACTGCCCTCATCCTGTTTCATACGTTATAAGCCATAATATTATTTCTGATCTTGCTACGTCATCTTCGTCCTTTCGTTGCATCGACTGGTCAGATTTTTGAAGCGAAACATTCTTTAGCACTGCTATGATTTGAAACTCGATGACTTTTCAAACATTTTCGTTGTAAATACCCTGTATATTTAGCCAGGAAAAGTATGAGATAGAATGCTTCTGAAAGCTTTTGCGGTAGGCAGCGGTTTGGCTCTGCCCCTGCCAGTGCTGACGTCCATAAGTAACGGTAACCACTCACCATAAAGTGAGCTCGTCTACCAACAAGGGCAATAAATAAATATATATATAAAGTTTTTTCTTCAGAAAACTATCATCAGTTATTCCGTCGCTGTTTAAGAAAAGTGGTTTAAGTAATTTAGCTGTAGTGTCCTTGACATTGTCCAATTTTATGGACGAGTGTAATTAGTAGGAGGTATGGGCCAAACGATACTCAGCTGCGTGGTGATAATGTAGTCAAGGCACGCCTACCACTATGTTTTCATTCATTTTCTAGATCTTTCTACGTTAAGTGCAATCATGATTATTTATTTAGTCATGACTAGCAATGTATCTAAACCGGTTACTCATCTGCCGTTGTAAGCTGATTGATTTAATCTTATTTTTACTAGGAATCGTCGTGTTAATTAATTTAGATTCATAGCTAATATATTTAAGATTCTTGATCGGTGGGAAAACTTTGTTAATGGCAAAAAATTAGCAGTGAATTAATTACTGTAGTGAGAGGCTTTGAAATGATTCGGTTTTATTTTTAAAAGTTACGAGGAAACAAGCCTCCGTATTCCGGTAGTCCTTTTACTCATGAACCCTGAGCCACGAGTCCATTAACGACGATAATAAATAAATAAAACATCTGAAATAATATTACATTAGCATCAAACAAAAGCGAGTTTGAACACACAATCATATCTTATGATTTTCGCTCACCGCAAAAATCAATACCCACAAATTATTGTTTGTATTCAATCGCAGATCGGTAGTTTTCCATAAAATTACACTAATAGCTACACGCTATAAAATTATGGATGCGGCAGCCAGGCATTAATTAAAGAAACACCTTCTATTTGTGCTTTATCCGAAAGTATATTGCTTTGAAGATCGCGCTAACTTAACTGTGTTTTTAAAAATTAAAATTGTTATTAATGCAATATTTTTTTTAAATAAAATAGATTCATCATCAAATGGCAAATCACTTCTGCTACACTGCTTATTATCTATAGTACTCCTAACTTATTTCAATTCAGGCTTCCATTTAGATGGTCTATTCTGGGTATCATTGTGATATATTCTAATCTTTTAAGTATTTCTTTATTGTAGTCATCAAGAAGTCGGTAGTCTGCCCCTTGCTCGTTGCTTAGTTCTAATTTGAAGCACTGTTTGCACTGAGTATGTTAGCTATTTTCTTGTCGCCATCTTCTGGTTTATATCTACTGAGTTTGCTCTATTTAAATTTCTGATAATTGGCCCTAATTTGAAGGATCCAAGTATGCTTCCGTTTTGCATTTTTCCAAGCGCATCAAGCTTGCCCAGCAGAGTATTTTCAAACACATCTTTTTAATTCTATTCAATGTCTCAATTAACTAAAGAAAACTTCGTGATTCTATTATTAATTATTGTAGAAAATTTGTGTAAATAGGACAAGATTACGCCGACTTACATAATTATTAGTTTTGTCATGTTTCTTATCACTGCGTCTAATTGTCTTATTGTTATGATCAACTAACATTGAATCGCTATTATGTTACTGCAATTAGGTTGATGTGATTACAAACTATTGTTTTGATGGTGAGCTAAATGAAAAATTAAATATAATAAACAATGCTTATTTGTAAATCTTCTCCCGGAACACAAAGGGCACTGTCTGAACACCCCAAGCGGTAGCCAACAATAATGGCCTTGGTCCTAAGCCTGGCCCTAGACAGTACAGTATCCTTGAGGTATCCCTGTGTTTGTTGCCATGAACCACCGTCTTCCAAGTACCGCGTATACCATCACTCTTCGGCATAACCATTTCTCGATTCCTAGTCAAAAAAGGTCACTGTCGATTTATTTCTGATTTTAAAATTAACTTAGAAAGTTGAAGTTTTTTTTTTAAATATTATTTATTGTAATCTATCAAAATATGCATCAATAGTTTCGATACATCTCTGCTAGTACAGTGATAATTTTTTAATGCCTTTTTGAAGAAATTAGGTTTACGGGTTTTTGTGCTGCCTCTGGGATATCGATTTTTTGCCTGCCAAAAAGCTGTCCAAACTTCGAAGTACAGCAGAGGACACAAAGCTTTCAACCTTGTAGCTCCTAAGCTCTTGAAGCCCAGAGATCGTCTGTTGTGCCCAATTATGTCGAGTGTTGTCGTATAGAAGCAACAAGGATGAGCGATTAATCAAAGTAACGCAAGGCATACCTTAACGGGTTCATGGCGCTCACCTACTTAATTTTTTTACGTTACCGATTTAATTATTTTTTTCCTAACTATGCTGATAGCCTTGAGAGGCTATTTCAGCTTCTACTTGACGTGTAGGTGAGCTCGCGGGGCTCAAGCTGGGAGTGTTGCTAACACTGGCCCTAGCAAGAGCAGTGCT